AAGTTAAAAAAAGGTAAAACTTCATTAAAAAGTTAAAAGCTAATTTAAAAGTCAAGAAAAAAGGTAAAAAAATTAATTAAAAAGCTAAAAAGTCAAGAAAAAAAAGGTACACTGGAAAAACGATCTAGAAATAAGTAAAAATGTCTTAAATTAAGTGTATTTACCCTTAATTTCAGTAAGTAAATGAGGTAGTTTGCCAATGGAATGAGTATTTTTACTCTTAAAATAAGATAATTAGATAAAATGCACTTGAAATAAGACAATGCAGTTGTGTTTTCCTATTTTAAGAGTAAATTGTCTCGTTCCATTGGCAAAATGTCACTTTTAACTCCTCAATCCAAGAATAAATGCATTTATTTTAAGAAAAAATGACTTATCTAGATTTAGATTGTTTTCCAGTGAATTATTATCTACATGAATCCACTATTTTGTTTGCTTTAATCAAAAATTATCTTTGAGTTCCTTAAAGACCCACCTCTGTGGAAAACACATTTTTCAGTCGACTCATACATTATATCTGGTATTTCCTTACATTTGTGACCCCAAAATGAAAACTGAAACTGACTGGGGACTCCCTAAAAAAATATAACTACCTAATGCTTTATTTATCTATAATTATCATTAATCTTTAAATACAGTTTTTAAAACATTTAAGTATTTAATTGATACATTTTAAAGTTTTTATTACTTAATGGGACATTTATTTATCTAATTTAATAAAAATTTCCTGGCATATTAAATTTTCTAATCATGTGTTAGATATTTGAATCAATAAATATTCCATCTGCTCATTTTGCGGTACATTTATTTATCTTATGATACATTTTGGTTCTCTATTTACCATCAAAATGATTGTGAAAGACCCCCTACTTGGTTTCTCACTACCTCTACTTTGGGAACTTGAATTTTATCATTAAAACGACCTTAATTAGTGATGTTTTTTCATTGTAATTGAAATATCATGATAAAAACTGCATATTTTATTTTTTTTCTAATTGATCCCAGTGTCTTACACCCTCTTTCCTTAGAGCAAACTGTTGCCTCTTAAGCCTTTGAAGTGGCTATTTATTTATTTATAGCAGTACCGGTCAGATAAAAAGCGTTTCAACCAGATGATCGATTACATGGAAAAGTAATCAACACAACTTTGCGTCAGTCTCAGCAGAAGAGGTCTAATAATTCTAACATCGATCTTTTTCTCTAAAAGAAAAACAAAATAAGTATGTTTGTTTCATTTTAAGGATCGTTTATTACTTGAAGTGCTGTCAGATTGTTGTCTTTTAAAGAATGCGTGTTCAGTTTAGTAAAGACTCCAGAGAGGCGTTTGTTTGGATTCCCACAGTGGATCTGTATATCTACACTTAACATGCAGAAGTCATTAAGATTAATGTGAAGAAGAAAATCAAAGAAACTCACCTGTGGATCGTGGAACTTGTGGATAAAATGATAAAAAGTCAAATGTTTTTAAAGATCTGATCAGGTCCCTTTATATTTAAAGTAGTTGTTTTTTTTTACTCTGGAGCTCCAGTTTTACTGCTGCTTTGATTTCCTCTGTGACGGCTGATGTTCAGCCCATCTCTTTTTCTTCTCTCTCTCTCTCCATCTCTCCCTCCCCCTCTCTCTGTTACTTACTTGCTTTGTTCACTCTCTGTCCTTTTTTTCTAATTTCTCATACCTGCTTCTTTTCTTTTCTCTCTTTATCCATCTGGCACACACCCACACACCCACATAGTATGTTAACCCACAGATGCGCCAATCTCGCCATCTATTAGTTTTACCACCATGGCAGAAAGTACGGTGCTGCAGTAAAATTGAAAGTTGAGATGCTTTGACCCTGTATCTGCTGCATGAATGTGCATAGTGAGCATGCACAGTGTATAGTTTTGCTTTTGACCAGCCTTATAAGCATCCTTCTGGGGCAAATCAATCTCCACGGACCCATTTCCTGTCATTTCATGTCAAACTCTCAACGAGCAAACATCTGTTTTCATCTGAAATATCTTACTTCAGCAAATAGGCAGCAGTCGACCTTATGCATATGTGACCATCTTATTCATATATCTCTGTAAATCAACAGAAAGGTTGATATTTTGGTTTTTGCCTGAAATCTCACTTAATTAACAAAGTTGTACCTGATATTATAAGATTGTATTTTTATGTTATTATAGTGAATCTTGCATTATCAGGCCATTATAAATCGTAGCTGTTGACGCAACATATTCTCACTCCCAACTCGTCACATATTGCCGCTTGAGTTGGGAGTGAGAATGAGTTTGTTGCAGATTACATGTGAGGTCCCTTCAAGGCTATAATCATGGAGAGCTTTTTATTCAATGCCTGTGTTTTGTAATAATCTACATACACTTGTTGCTTCCTTTCAACACAGCCTTCCATCATCCATAAAGGCCAGATTTGAAGGAAACGCAGCTAATACACTCACCGGCCACTTTATTAGGTACTAGTAACGGG